TGCAAGAAATTTTGAGCAAGTTGTCTAGTGACTGCAAGTTTCAAGGCATTAGCTCACAAGGGGGTCTCGGTGGACAAGGATCTTCTTCCGCAGAAGTTCAATGCCAACGACATCCCAAAATTCAAAGCGACTAACAACCCCTACTTTCATCTAAGAGCTTTCGAAACAATAATGAGTATTAAGGGTATTGACAAGAAGGTATTTCCCTCTTTCTCTTCTCTATCTCTTGAAGCTGTTTGCCAACAATGGTTCTTCTCTCTTGAGAAAGAAAGAACCTCTACTTGGGAGTCAATAGTAAATGCTTTCATTAATAGGTACAAGTGCAATATTCAAGTAGAAACTGATTATAGGGAAATTGAAATACTCAAGCAAAAGGAGAATGAAGGTTTCACCTCTTTCTTCAACAAATGGAGAGAAACCTCTGCTAAGATGATTGAAGTACCAAGCGAGAAATAATCTGTGAGGTTGTTCATCAAGAAACTTCAAGAAAAGTACTCCAAGCATCTCAAATACCAGAATAAGCTCCATACCTTCAAGGCCGTCTATGACATTGGAATTAATATTGAAGACGACCTGGCTAAGCTGAAAGCTGCTAACAGTAACTCCAACAGTGGCTGGAAAGGCAAGAAGAACGACAATCCTTCTTCTTCTAAAACCACCCACTCAAACAATGTTAGCACCTTTAATTTAAGTGAATTAGTGAAGTCCTTGCTATGAATAACCAAGGACAAAAGAAACCATTTAGGAGGAACTTTACTCCTATAGGTATGAGTTATGACACCGCATTTGACCGACTCAATGCAAAAGGTCTTATAACTCCTATTGGACCATTTGGGGACCCACCAGTCGAGAAGAGAATAACTAACTGGAACCCCAATGCACATTGCAAATATCACCAAGGTAGGGGCCATCTTACTGAAAATTGTTGGAAGCTTGGGAAGCCATCCAAGATTTAATCAATAACAACAAACTGCCATTGCCTCCTTCCAGCAAGAAGCCAAGCATTGACAATGCACCTCTCGCTCATTCCTTGGCCATCTCTGATGAAGAAAATGAGGTTGGTCCCTCATCTCTCATCAAACCTATTGAAGAAATTCATGCTATCGAAAAAGAGGAGGAGATCTTTTTCGATGCCATGGATGACTTTCCTGAACCGGCAAGCAAAGAAGATGTATGGTTGCTTATATGGTCCATGTGGGAGGGACCAAGCTTGCTACGTGAAGCTCTCTAAGTCGCAAAGAAACAATTAGAGGAGCTTCAGAAAAAGTGTGACAAGGTTCCACCCACGAAGAAGAAACCCTTCTCTTTGCAAGTAATTGACAAACCCAAGAAGAGTAATAAACTCTATACTCCAATTGAGACTTCCTACACTGAAATGTTTAACATGCTTTTCGAGGGTGGCAAGGTTAAACCTATCGAATCGAGACCATTTGAATCGCTAAAAAGGACAGATAGGTTCTACTGTCAATACCATCAATCAGGGGGGTCACACTATTAAAAACTGTTTTAAATTTAAAGATTTAATTCAGAAAATGATTGATGATAAAAAGCTAGTCCAAATTCCACAAGAATAAGACATTAGCATCAATGGGGTTTGGACAGCGATGATGAAGACGTCTATCTTAAGGATATGGAAGAACCTCCACTTTTAGTCATATACCCAATAAGCGATTTTTGGAGGAAGAGGATTCATCAATAGACGTCCTCACAAGTTCAGGGAGAATGCAACCTCCCGTTTCAACACAACCTATACCGACTACGCAGCAAGTTCCCATACCTATCATAGAAGACAATGATATTGTCAAACAGTTCAAGAAAACCAAGGTTGAGATGAATGTATGGAAACTTCTAGCAACATCACGAGAACATAGGTTGGCAGTAATGAATGCCTTGGATAAGATAGGGATAGACTCTAACACCACTCCTGAGGGGTTGGCTAACTTCCTTACGAGTGATCTCCCTAGTCATATCAACTTGATCACCTTTTCTGACAAGGATTTACCTCTAGAAGGTGACAAGCATTATAAGGCACTAAACCTCACAGTAGTTTGCTAGAGAATGAACGTCCCTATGACTCTTGTAGACAATGGATCGGCAATTAATGTCTGTCCACTCAGAACTGCGAGGATGCTAGGCATAAGGGATGAAGAATTAACCCCGTCAACACAAGGAATAAGAGCTTATGACAACACTCGTCGTCAAGCTCTTGGCAAGATTACCATGAATATAACAGCGGGAGCGATAGAACACGCTACTACATTTCAAGTGGTAGACATCAAAGCTTCATTCAACTTATTGTTGGGACGCCCTTGGCTTCATGACCTAAAGGTCGTCCCTTCATTCCTCCACCAACAGGTAAAGGCCATAGTTGGAGGAATTCCTATTACGATCGATGCTTCACCCATGAGGATTAAAGCTATAGAAAATCCGATCCTTAATGTGGAGCACGATGAAGACGATGAAGACTTGTGGGAATTTAATGAAGAGGTCTCCTTAATCTAGGAGGATGAAAGGACCCCTCTCTGCCACGACCCCCACTCCAATATGACAGTAAATGCTATTATAAAGAAACAAGGGAATTTTCCTAGAATGACTCTAGGAAAGAAGAAAGGAATAGCAAAATCGCTGGAATTACTTGGCCTCCCTAAGTTAAACACTTTCAGACTTGGTTTCGAACCGACTCGGGAAGATCTCAAGCGAGCCCAGGAAAAGTCTAAGGCGTGTAAGAACGCTCGCATCCAAAAGAAAGCAATCCCAATGGATCAATATCCTCTTACTCTCAATAGAAAATTCATTAAAGAAGGAGAGGGCTATCCGTATTATGAATTTCCCGAACCTTTTGTTGTAAATGGCATAAGGAAACTGGGATTCGAAATTTTCCTAGATTGCTATTTTCTAGATGAAATCCCAACTCCTATCCACAAGGAGAAAGCACCCCCATGCTTTAACTTTAATGTCATGGGATTACTATTTGGGCGAGAAAAAGATGACTCGAAGTACATAGAGGATAACACCTCGCTCATCCAAACAATCCTACAAAGCGAGAACTTTGAACCCTCAAAGCTCATCACTCCAGTAGAAGGATCATTACAAGGGTGGCGCAAGACAATCAAGGTGACCACTCCAAGTGGAAGGAGAATTTCCATAACGACATGGCCAGGACCGATGTTTGAAGAGTCGTCTGAGTCAGAGTCAGAGTCAGAGTCAGAGTCTTTTCCTGTAGAGTCTAAATCCTTAGTTGTAGCACCCCCTTCTTCTATCTCTTCCCCTAGGATAGTTAACAATCAAGTCCCTGAGGATATCTCTCTCTTTGATGTAATGATTTCTGAGTTCAATAATATGTCTTCTTCCACTTACTCCTCGTGCTTTTCTTTAACCCAAGATGATGAGCATTGCTTAACTAACAATGAAAATGACAAAGACCTTATTAAAGCAATGGAACACTTGAAAAGAAAACACCGATAATCGAGGAAACTGAGACGGTTGATATCTCAAATGATTCAACCCTTAAAAGAGAAGTTAAAATCGGATTAACACTTAATGAACAAGAAAGAACCGATTTAATCAATCTACTTAAAGAATTTATCGATGTACTTTCTTGGTCATATGAAGATATGCCAGGTATTAATAGAGAAATAGCTCAACACACTATACCGCTAATTCCAGGAATGAAACCTGTAAAACAAAAGTTGCGTCGAATGAAACCCGACGTAGCTCTTAAAATAAAAGAAGAAGTTCAAAAACAAATAACTGCAGGTTTTATCAGGGTATCCAAATACCCCGAATGGGTGGCCAACGTCGTCCCAGTTCCAAAAAAGGATGGAAGGGTAAGAATGTGTGTCGACTATCGAGATCTAAATAAGGCAAGTCCGAAAGGACGACATCCCTTTACAACACATTGATATTTTAGTAGATAATACAACGAATCATGCACTTCTCTCGTTCATGAAAGGATACGTGGGATACAATCAAATTCTCATGGAAGAAGAAGACATGGAGAAAACAACCTTCATAACACCATGGGGTACTTACTGCTACACGATAATGCCATTCTGGTTGAAAAACGCGGGTGCTACTGTAGGGAATATTTCAAGCATTACCCCTAGATTGAACCCCACTGTGATCATACACTAAAGTACGGTGGCGTCCAAAGGAAAAGAAGATAGAGCAAAAGAGTCGCCAACAAGTTTTAGGAACTTGTAAACCGTTCACGAGGTGAAGGTTACACCCCTTTACGATCCAAGAGATCGTCAGCTCCAATGGGTCCTGGAACCATGACTGATAGTTTGGGGATGAAGGTACAAATCCAACCTAAAAGAGATTGAACCTGCCCTAATGATAAGCCTCTATTTTATTCTGATCGTATTCATGTGCGCTTTCTGACTAACATGCAATCTATAGGATTACCCTAAACCTGTTTATCTATGTTGGTTGAATATTAATGCACAAACAAAACTATTATTTGAGATCACTTGAATTATAATCAAATTAACCCTAAACAAGATTATTAATTATCTTATAAAGCGTGATTACAAGTACAAATTCCCTTTAAACATGCATAAAAGGTGTGATCAAGCAATAACAATAAATATATATCAAGCAACATAATAAATCAAAATAATAATCATCATAATAATAATCATCATCATAATCTACAGACCTTACAAAATATGCAAAAGCAAACACTGTGCTCATGAATAGTTCTTTTTGATGCTATTACAAAGACACCCTTACATTTAATGAGTTGCCGAATTTACCCTTCCTTAGCTTGGTGCATTTGCTTGCCATTTTTCACGGAGGATACAGCTATTGTTGACATCCTTCTTTGGTTGCCAGCTAAGGTGTCCTTGTATGTTGTAGGAATTACTTTCGGAGGTTCGTTTGGTTGTGTGCTCTGGGGTTTGCTTTTCGCGTTGTAAGTCTGAAGGATGAGGTTCGGAGGTAAGGTGTTGGGTTTGGCAGCCTGGACGAGACCGTCTGGTATGGTTTATTTTCCCTTTTGCTGGATATATTGCAGTCCTTGATGTTTGTTTTCAATTGCATGTTAGCTTAGGATTAGAATTACTGCTTCGGCTTTCTAGGAATGGATTGCCTTACTTGGGCACTACTTCAGTGTCCTGGTACTGTTCAAGGTTTCCTTTTTATCAATGGCGGTGGCTTTCTTTGCCATAGGCTATATATAGACTTGTTGGGTTTCCATAATCTGGGTGTGGGTGGCTTTAAATTTCTGTGCTGAAGGCTTCATTTGGGAGGTTGGTCTTTGTTCGGACGACATTAAGTTACCTAATGTGCATTTTAAATGTGTCTGTATGGATTGTATTCTAGATCTGCTGCCCAAATTGAATCTTAAATTTAAAATGGATCTGCTGCCCAGATTGAATCTTAAATTCAAAATAGATGACTACATATAGTTGCAATGCGTGATTTTCTGTGACTTTGGTGCTTTCGTCCTTATGACACTGCTCTGCCATGTGTTACTAATTTAGTTGCTGTGGTGCAGTTTGGATTGCTAGGAAATAAAGTGTGGTTTGGTATATCAAATGGTTTATGGTTGCCTTTAGATGTTCTTACTTTCGCCTTTTGTGGGGTTACAGGGTTGGTGCAAGAATTGTTTGTGATTTTGCTGCGGGACCTCGGTTTGTTCTCGTGTGTCTGGAGGACTTCTAAAGGTAATTTTTATTCCTCAGTAATCGTAATGTGCCTTCGGTGCTTGTTCTTTATGCTGTGTTGTTCTGCTTTGCTTTTGTTGGTTTTAGTGAAACACAATCATTATATGTTGATTTCATATGATGCGTTTGCTGTTTTCAGATTACTATAGGATTTGATAGATTGGAAAAAGAGATGTTTTAGGTGATTGCTTGTTTGTTGCTTTTACACTTCTTTTGAAGGGATATTGAAGTATTGCCTAGGTGATCGACTCTATTAAGGTAGGCCAGGAAAATGTAGGTTGTAGTTGGGCCTTTAGAGAAAAGAGGCCGGTTCAGAATTATAGAACATTGTTTGTACACTTGCTCGGTTCTACAGTTTTCAGAGGTGCAAAGATAATCTGGTATTGTGTGTAGGATCTTTGTCTTTTCATTTAGGATTTCTTTAGGTTAGTTTTACAGCGGGTAGATTTCTGTCTGCCTTTTGGTATGTCTTATGGGTTGGGTCCAGTTGTATTACTTTGAAGAAGAATAAGTGTTTTATTCTTCATCGTTTTTGTCCTGAACATTGATTTTGCCATTACAGGTTATGGCTAGACGATCAAACAGAGTGTGTGTTCCTTTTCAACCTATCTTGGAAAAGGTTGTTTCTTGGTTGCAGTTTCCATCTCCGGTGTATGGATTTATAGATGCTGCTAAGAATAATGTCTTTGTGCGGGTTAATACGCCTAATTCTCGTACAAAGTTTATCTTTTATGGTGGAGATGCCACTACGGTTGAAGAGTCTTGTGATAGAGCAGCTCACAAGGCTGTGAAAAGATTAGTCTGCCGTTTTAGTGTTCGGGTGTCTGATTTCACATATGAGCGTATGAAGATGTATCATTTGTGTGTGAAATTGTATAAAAATTTATGTGCTGAATTAGTACAGGACAGAGAGGACTTGAGTCGCATACGTGCTGAATGCATCACACGGGAGGATGTGCCATTTCATGAGATTCATGTTGGATTTGATTTTGTGCAATTTTTGGGAGTTTTAGTTAGGAAAACCGGTGTAACTGTCACTGGTATTGAGACCACCCAGTTAGAAGGACATGGCTATATGTCTTGGTTAATGGTCACTTGTCCTCATAATAGTATTGGGATGGAGTGCATTTTCAGTGATCCTTGTGCTGAAAAAGATATCGCTCAACAGCGGGTTGCTAAGAAGGCCTGTTTTTTTATATCTTCTGTGCTCCATTTAGAGATTGTTGATGTCAATTACGGTTCTGTTGCCAAGCTAAGCGCAGATTGTTCCTTGATAAGAGAGAGGTATTTGGTTTTGAAAGGCCATGTCCAATGTTTAGGAGGGAATTCTAGGCAACCTGAGGCTGCTTCCTGTTTGGTTAGTGATGAATGTGTGACACCAACAGATGAAGCAAACCAGATTCCGGTTCTTGCTCTTCCGCCAACTGTTCCAGCTAAGCGTCCCATGGATAGAAAGGACCTGCCTACGAGTGGTGTGGGGGTCCATGTTTCTGATCAGCTTGTTACTGGCCTGAGTGAATTAGCTAATGTTTACAAGTGTGCTAGGGTTGAATAGTTATGTGTAGTAAATCTAGCTACCTTTAGTGTACAAAGGTTTCATGATATGTAGGCAAATGTTGGTGTTGTTTAAGTAATGTAGTGCCTATGTAGTTCGCTCTTGCCTAATATTGATGTCTGTTTTAGGTGCAAGTATTAGCTGGTATTATGTAGCTTTTTGTTTCTGTTGATGTACTGAATCAAACTACCTGAATGTACTGCTTGTTATGGCTTCCTTTTAATGAAATCAGTTACTATTTGTGTTATGCCTTGTACTCTCACATGTTGCACTGCTTACCTTTTGTCTTCTTACCGTTAAAAGTGATGTCTCCCTTTAGTAGTTTCCCTACTCCCCGATTACTGATGTAACATTAACGACAGATTTCCTCTACGAAAAGCTGTGTGCAATGTTGTAGTATTCCAGGTTTGATAGCCTGTTCTGGAGCTGTGAAAAATGGGTATTGTCTTTTTTTGAAAAGTTTGTCCTTTAATTTGTTTGCTACAGTTGAATTCTAATTTGTGTGCTCCTTTGGCCACTTTACTCTGGTGTTTGTTAGATTGCCGTTATGGCATCCCTCGGCTGTCTAAGAAAAGCTGCAGTAGAGTAAATAAGGCTGCACAGAGGACATCACAATCAGCATTTGCTAGGTATGCATATCCAGTTGAGGTAGATGGGTCAGAATGAGTTGTTCTTGTATTTGGAATCAGTTTTCTTAAAAGTTTTCCTTTAAATGTAGCCCGTGCTTAGTGGCCAGCCAGTCTGCTCCTGCACAACCTCCACGGTGTCGGAAATCAAAGAGGCAGAAGTGTATGCAGGGAACAGCTGCGCCATATTTGAATAGGTATCTGTATTCGATGTCCAGGCACTATTACGTTTATCTTTGATACATCTATGAGCACTTTTTCTTTTTTCCTCTTATTAGTTGTGCTTTCAGATTACTGCACTCCTGAGGGTGTTTGTTTGGTATTTGTGATATAGATACCATAATAGAACATATATGTCATGCAGTGTACCAGAAGGAGGAATATATGTTCTTCGTAAAAAAAAAGGGCCATCCCTGGTGTACAAGGTAACTTATTATGTCTGTTCTAAGCATATTCTATTAGGGCTAGGTATCTTATTGGTCTGTTCCTTTTGTGTTACTTTAAATTAGATGTTCTTGGTGCTGCTATGGATCGACAGCTACCAACGGAGCCTTTTAGACTTGCCGTGCCTTTTTCCTGTCACAAATGCGGTGCAAAAAAATTTATGTTTGAATCCTTGCACTTCTGCTGTGGGAATGGAGACATCACGATAGCTGCGACTGAGTATCCTCCTGAACTTGCTTATTTGTTTACTTCAAAGGATGAGGGTGCTGTGCATTTCAGAAAGTATGCTAGATTATACAACAACTTGTTCGCGTTTAGTTTGCTTGGGGGTCATTATTATGCAAACACACACAAAGGGATTTATCTTTTTAAACTGCACGGTCAGATGTATCATTTTGTCCCGGATTTATTGCCTGACAATGACAATCCAAAGTATCTCCAATTGTACTTCTATGATGGTCAGCATGAATTAGAAAATAGGGTTGGTTGTTTCCCTGAAATAAGAGAAGATGTGATTAGCATTCTGATGCAAGTATCTATGCATAATCCCTATGCTGTATTCTTCCGGACTTTAAGGGACAGGGTCATTCATGCAGATACAAGAATTGTTTTAAATCAAGCGCCAGTGCTTGATCAGCGTGTTTATTATGCTCCTGCTATTGATGAAGTTGCTGCTATCTGGCCGGAGAGTGCTTCGTCTAGCCAGAGCTTGGGCCCTCATATATTAGTTAGTGGACGCTCTGATAAATCTCATCGAATATATCATAATTATGGATGCTATGATCCGCTTCAGTATCCTTTAATATTTCCTCAGGTGAGTGTGGGTGGACTCAAGGACTTAAAAAAAATTCTCACCCGTCTCGAAGATCGGCAGATCTGGTTCCGGATCCTATAATGTCCTGTGCTGTTCATACTGCAGCTGAGTTATTAGAGCAGGAAGAAACCCGTAAGAATTCTAGACTTTATTCTTCTCTTTTAGTGTTTGATGCCCTTCTGCAACTGTCACCTTGAAATATTCCTTTTCGTTTCTTAATTGCAGGTGCAAAGAAGAAAAACACTAGAGCAGACAAATTCATATCTGCTAGAGAGTATTATGCCTATAGGCTACAGATCAGGCCTAATAACATGCTTTTGCGAGTGGGAAGGTGTTTTCAGCAATACATAGTGGATATGTATGTGAAGATTGAAAATACAAGACTTGATTACTTCCGAAATAATCAAGACACCATCAGAGCTGATCTGTATAAAGGGATTTTGGATTCACTGGATTCAGGGGAGACTCTTGGAGAAAATGTTGGCCGTAGGGTTATATTACCTCCTACTTATATTGGCGGTCCTCGGGATATGAAGAAGCGGTATTTAAATGCTATGGCTTTAGTACAGAGATTTGGTAAACCAGATCTTTTTGTTACAATTACTTGTAATGCTAATTGGCCTGAAATAAAAGCCGAGCTAGCTGCTGGTGAGGCGGCACAAGATAGACCTGATTTGGTTGCTAGGATTTTTAGAGCAAAATTGGTAGCCTTGAGAAGAGAAATCATGGAGAATAAAATATTCAGGGAAGTGGCTGCAATGGTATATGTAGTCGAGTTTTAGAAAAGAGGGCTGCCACATGCTCATTTCCTGATTATTCTGAAACCTGAATACAAGCTCAAGTGCCCTACTGACTACGATCGATTCGTTTGTGCTGAAATACCTGCTCCGACTAATGGTGTCTTGAGAAGAATTGTGTTGGCACATATGATGCATGGTCCTTGTGGTATCCTTAATCCGGATTGTCCATGTATGAAGAAAACCGGCGTGCAACGCAGTTGTAAAAACAAGTACCCTAAGCAATTTTGTAATGAAACGACTAATAATAAAGATGGATATCCTATCTACCGTCGAAGAGTAACTGGGGAGCAGGTAACCATAAGAAATGCACAATTAGACAATCAGTGGGTCATTCCCTATAACCCTTATTTGTCAATGCTCTTTGATTGTCACTTGAATGTTGAGGTGTGTTCGACCATTAAAGCAGTAAAGTATCTATACAAGTATGTGTATAAGGGTCATGATAGGATTTCGTATAATGTTGTTGGTTCTTATAGTGAACCTGTAGATGAAATTCATCAATATCAATCAGGTAGATGGGTATCTCCTTGTAAAGCTGCATGGAGAATTTTTAGCTTTGACCTATTTGAGATGCACCCTTCTGTTTTTTCTTTACAAGTCCATTTGCCATACATGCAGACTGTTCATGTGCGCCCGCATGAAAAACTGCGCTCTGTTGTTTTGGATGATAAACGCTCAAGAACTCAATTAACTGATTTTTTTGCAATGAACACTGATACTGAACATGGCTTGGGGTATCTATATGGTGAATTTTGCGAGCATTATACATGGCATCAGGGTGATAAGAGATGAAAACAAAGAGTACAGAACAGGATTTCAGTTGGCCGCCTGGAATTTGTGTTTCCTGCAGAAGGAGAATGCTTCTTTCTTAGGCTCCTACTGCTCAATGTAAGAAGTCCTAAGTCTTTTAAAGCTCTGCGTACTGTTGATGGTTGTTTGTATCCGACTTTTCAGGAAGCTTCATTAAAATAAGGGCTTATAGAAGACGATGACACAGCCAATTCGACTATGGCTGAGGCACGTGACACTCATATGCCTGCTGCTTTGCGGCGCCTATTTGCAACGGTGTTAATGTTTTGTCAGCCAAGAGATCCCGCTGCTTTATGGAATTCTTATTATTCTTTTCTTGCTGAAGATTACTCTCATAGGTTCCCAAATCAACCTCTAAGGATACACCAGCTTACTGTTCGAGCAGTTGAACAGCACCTGGAAGCCATGGGAAAATCCCTTGCCTTTTTTAGCCTGGAGGAATTAGTATCACAGGTCAGTGATGAGTTTAGACGTACGAAGGATATTATAGATGCTCTGAACGCACCGATCCCAGAAGAGTGCTTAAGTTGTCGCTCAAGGTTAAACTCTGAACAAAATGCTGCTTTCGAGTGCATAATGGAACATGTCTTACAGCAAAAAGGCGGTGCTTTCTTTATTGATGGTCCAGGAGGTACAGGAAAAAATTTTCTTTACAATGCACTATATGCAGAGATTCGACAAATGAACAAGATTGTTTTACCTACGGCCACATCAAGAATAGCTGCAGCTAACATTCCTTCGGGAAGAACTGCTCATTCACGGTTCAAATCCCAATTGACGATGAAGGGTCGCTGGCATGTGATGTTCCGAAGCAAGGAAGTTTAGCTGCATTGTTAAAGGAAACCGCTCTGATAATCTGGGACGAGGCTTCTATGGAAAAAAAGCAAAGTGTAGAATCTCTAGACCTTTTATTGCAGGATATATGCGGAAATAAGGTCGTGTTTGGAGGGAAAGTGGTGGTTTTGGGAGGAGATTTCCGACAAGTCTTGCCAGTGGTCCCTCGAAAGACAATGAGCGAGGCAGTAGAGGCAAGTATTGTGACTTCTTATCTGTGGCCCAGGCTTGTGAAGTTCAGACTGACAGAAAACATTCGGGCAAGAGAAGACCTAGGATATGCTGCTTTTTTGCTTGGTCTGGGTAACGGTGAACTGCAGCAAACAGAAAATGCTTATGTCGAGCTACCAGAACATATCGTATAGTGCACAAACGACGTTATAGACTTGGTTGCAGCTGTTACAGATACAACGTTTCCAGAAATTGGGCATGGCTTATTTCACAGTGAGGTTTTCACAAAAAAGGCAATTCTGACTCCCATGAATGATGATGTGGATGCTATCAACACATTCATGATTGAAAAATTCCCTGGACGGGCTGTGACTTACAAGAGCTTTGATGCTGTTGTTAATGATACATGCAGCATATATCCTACATAATTTATTAACAAGCTCTGCCCAGGTGGAATGAGTCCTCATGAGCTTGTGTTAAAGGAAAATTGCCCAGTGATACTGCTAAGGAATTTGCTTCCATCATCCGGTCTATGTAACGGTACAAGGTTAATTTGTAGAAAGTTTTTTCCAAATGTAATTCAGTGCACTATAGCAGTTGGTCACTACAAAGGGGAGGATGTTTTTATACACAGGATTAACTTGAGGCCTTCTAAGTCTATCAAGTATCCGTTCATGTTTGAGCGAAAACAATTTCCCGTAAAACTTAGCTTTGCAATGACAATTAACAAATCTCAAGGACAGACTCTTATCCAAGTATCCATTTATTTGCCACGCCCGTGTTTTTCCCATGGGAAGCTTTATGTTGCCCTTTCACGGGCTAAAAAATCAACAGATGTCTGCGTTTTCACTACAGCTGGTGTTAACCAATGTTCTGTTAATGCAGTTAGAAATGTAGTATCTCATAAACTCCTATTGCTGGCAGGCATTGTTCAGACCGATGGAATGTAAAGTGAGCACTGCATGTATATTTTGTGAGCTGCCACAGGCATAACAGAGTTGGCAATGCTGACTGTTTCTGAATAGAGTGAGGTAAATTCTTTTGTTGCGCTTCACATATTAGAGCACGGTATAGTGTTACTGATACGTGTTATGGTGTGATTGCAGGCTGCACGAAATGCACAAACGATTTCCCTTTACAGAGGACACTGTAGGTATATAAATGCACTATAATTGCAGTACTGGTTTAGTACATCAGGGATGCCTTTTTTTGTGATTATGCTTCTGTTCTTCAGAGTATGTGCTTTGTGAGTTATAGATGGAATCCCTGCATTATAGCTTAGAAAAATAACTATTCAGCTTATGGTTAGGCATTTCCTGCCCTGACTCTGTGTATGCTTGTATGCTTATGAGATGTTACGGTAGTGCTTATAGGTTGCAGTTGTTGGTCACACATTTTGGTCATTCCCTCTTCGAATTCCTACTACCTTCAGTGACAGAAGTTAATCGTACTAAGCTCTTCACTGCGCTTGTTCTAATAGATTCATAGTAAGTGATGCCTAATTGAATAATTCTGCTGTTAATAGAAAGCTGCTCTTACTTCAGATATATAGAGATTGTATCCCAGTCTTTAATTTGTTTGTGCTTACCTTGCAGAAAGCAGCAGAATCAGCAAGTGAAGGCATGTATTTATCGGCGAAAATGTATGCTACAAGGTAAGTTATGCTTCGCTATACATACTTTGTTTAGTAGGAACGTATATCTACTATGCATCAAGTCTATGCTTAACATGCTTTTGCTAATCCATACTTACTACCAATTATTACGCCTAATATATATTTAACGTATACCGTGTAATACTTCCGTTGGTAATAATAGTGTTTCTTGTGCTTTTGTTGGGAGGTTATAATTTGGGCTTTGTCTAGCAATTACTACGCCAAATGTATATTTAACGTATACCGTGCAATACTTTCGTTGGTAATAAAAGTGTTTCTTGTGATTTTGTTGTGAGGTTATAATTTGGGCTTTGTATTACATAACATGTAAATGGGCTTTGTTAGTGTAGCCCATAAAATAACAATAGCACTACATTTTCTGAATAGCAAAGTAGTTTTACGGTTTAAAAGGCATATACATTTCACCTTGGAGATAGCAACTAGAAAGTACAAGTCAAACTAACTATTCATAGTAAGAAAAATAGTATTATATTTGAAGCTGTACTTGCTTTTAGTTTTAGCCACAGAAAAGAAAACTTTTCTTTCATTTAAATATGCCTTGTCATATAATAGCCATAATAATTAGGATCTTTTTACTTATAGTTTAAGAAAAGATACTAAACTAATCTTTAGTGCTTGCAAGCTGTAAACAAATAAAAGAAAGGAAGTTGTTTACTGTTTGGGAACGGTTACTGTTGAAACAACAAAAAACCTAGATCCTTTTGCTTTCCAGCCTTTGCTATAAATACCATATGGGTTGGAGACTTTTGAAGCACCATATTATTCTCTTACTTTTCAGCCTTGATTGTTGTATATTCTTCTTCTTCTCTGTACCTTTTATAGTAGCCTTTACATCACCTGCTGTAACAATCACCCACATACTTAGCTATCCTTTTTTTAAAAAAAAAAACAAAATAAGAATTCCATTATGATATATGCATACCTCGTACTTATTTTACTTCTTTTGGTATACTAGAATTATTTCTAGTGAATGAATTTGTATTTGTATATACTGCTGTCTGTTTCTTTCTTTGTTCTTGTACAGTCACTTCAGCTCATGCTCTATCTCATGTTGCTGCGTTTATGAAGCTATTATATTTGTTCATTTTTTGGCATCATTTGTCCTTAGATATTGTTCATGAAATACTATTTCAAACAGAAATAACTACTTAATTGAAAAACAAGAACAATTATATATGCCATCACTGTAAACTACACTGATCACTGTGTGTATATCTCCCACTCTTTTTACATGCCCTTTTATTCTACCTCATTCTCACACTCTGTGAAGTATTACAAGTTCAGCTTTTAAATCTACATGTACACTATATATATGCCTTGTTATGATTTTTCTCCTGACCAATTTTCCATTTTCATGAATTGCAGATCATGAATACACCACCAAGAATGAAACTTGAACCTGTGTACCTAGATAAACTCACTACTCAAAGTAAGGACTATAAAGTTAAAGTTACTATCACTAAAAAGGGAAGAGCTCAGCCTTCTCCTAAAAAGCCAAGTGTGGTTTTTCAAACAATCATCTTAGAGGATGAAAAGGTATATACATTTTCTAAGCTTAGATTGTAGAAACATATGTACCATTTATTTTCTAGTTATAGCACTGTAGATTCCTTGCTGCACATACAGTATGTTATGTACAACTTGTGTTTTTTTGGAATATCTACTGTAATGAGCATGGTTACAAGTAGACTACTTACTTAAGCATGCCTTTGTTCCCTGTATAAAGTTGTATAATTCTGCTAAGTATTCCTCTCCTTAATGAGTATGTTATGTATCTTTCCAGAAAAACAAGATGCGCTGTGCACTGTTTGGAGACCAGATTGAAGTGTATGAGGATGTTCTAAAACCATCTGGTCAATATGAAATATCCAAGGCCCCTATAACAGCTGTGGAAGAACAGTATAAATTCAACGAACAAGAACTCCCATACCAGATGACAGTCGGACAAAAAACTATTATTCAACGTTTAAATCCAGAAAGTGGACCGATTGAGCCAAAATACCAGCCACTGCCAAGTATTCCACGATCACCTGATCCAAATGGAAGATTTGGTAGTGCTTATTATCTATCAGTCTACGCATATCTATGGTTTTATTTGCACTTTCAAAAATGACACTGTATGCATGCATTCTATTGCACTTACTTTTTACTTATGTCCTAAACCAGATATAGTTGGTGTTGTACTGTTTGTTGAAGAGGCACCAAGTCTGATACCTAATACACGTGGTTGGGATAGTCCAGTGCGAGAGATTTCTGTTACAGATACAAGGTAAATATAGTTTCTAAAAGGTTGCATATCTTACCATTTACCTAACAGCTGAAGCATATTACTAACACTAAGTACTCATTTGCAAATCAGCTAAGACCATGCTATGACTATTTCAGCGTGGAATGACCTCATAGGCAAACCATGTGATGCTATGAGTAATTGGGCCGAAAAATTCAATGTCGTTGGCTTTACTGCTCTCAAAACCCGACACACAAGAGGTCAGATCACTTAGGATAATTAACGTTTTCTAACTGCCGTTCAACATCAGAGAATAAACTTATTAATACTTGGCAACAGGATTCACTCTGAACACAACCATGTCGACCAGAATCATTCTGAACCCTAAAGGACCACGGGCAGATATGCTTCGAGAATGGTAGGTGCTACATAAGAATATTTTATAAGCATATAATAACAAGTTAACTAAGGCTACCTATTCTGTTTCAGGGTTAGCTTATATCAGCATGTGCTGCAAGACATGCAAGAAAGAATTCTCAATGTCAGATATCCAAGTGCTGAAAAGAAAATTATAACAATAACTGAGCTAAGAAGCAAGAAGGTCCTTAACTTACTAAGTTTATTATAAATGGAAAAAGATTCTCGTGATATATAGCATTTAGGACAAATATTATACCTGCTTAGTATTATCCTGTTGGCAACATTGATGCAGGCAGCTAATGCAACACCAGATGAGGTAGCTTGGATCAGAGTCACAATACCAGAGGCCAACTTACAGAGAGTTAATGCATACATAGGGTGTCTTGGCTGTGGAAAACGATCACATCTTGCACTTGGGACTTGCTTCCCTTACATTCTTGCAAGAAAGCAGACAGTACTGTTGCTCATAAGTATACTTTTAGCCGAAGCTTTGTTTCTTTTTTCCCTTCACAGTTATAAAATATATACTAATATTTTACTAAACTAACATGTGTACTGCTACAGAGTTACTTTCAAGTTCGAAGCTGCTGATGACAGTGGGACAATGTCATTTACAACGTTTAATGATGATACGGAGAAGCTTTTCCGAAGGACAACAGCTGAAATTTGGGATATGAAAATCAATGTAGGGAATTCTGCCACTGCTATGATTTCTGGCATCTTGCATTTTTGTAAAACTCCGTATGTGGTTATGTATAGTAGTTCAGCTTGATATACATGCAACACTGATTATATAATTTATTGGTAAACAAATCCTGCACGGGAAAAGAATATAGTACATTATTACCTATAATTCCTTCTGTTAATTGGCTTGTTATTTTACATAAAAAGGGAATTGATTATGCATCCTCTACATAATATATACTTGCTATTAATACATGCTGCTGAACATTGTAGGGCAATTTGGACGCTTTTAGGGTTGTTAAGGAGAGGCTATCAGTTGAACCTTTTTGTATTCAAGTAACTCCAACTCTGGAGCTAGCGAGAAACAGTGTTCTATTATGGACATTGAAATCTGTTGATGTTGAAGATGCACGAAAAGTGTCCAAGTGCCAGCTTCATCATCTTCGAATTTGAACAGAGGTCAATTCCCTTCTACGGCTGGGAAACGGCTTGCAGGACAGCAACTGCTCGTAAGCGAGGTTGCACCAGCTGCCGCAGTTAAGGACCAGGGTAAAGCACCTGCTGGCCCTAGCTTAGAGGGCGATACTGATTGCAGTGAGGAGAACACGGAAACAACTGATGAGGTTCTCGCTGATTTAGCTCAGTTTCATGAGTTTAGACTAGCTTCCCAGGCATTCGAGACAGATTGTTTTGATGTCCCGTTTTAGCCACCAGCTAAGGGTATTACAATCTCTGAAGCACCGGCACCAGTGACAAAGCTTCCTACATGGGCCACTCTTGCTCGTGCTCGTAGCAAGGCTAAGAACAAAGAGCCAATGCCTGCTGATGATACACAAGACTTGAGTGATACAGACGAGGCTCCAAGGAAGAAACTCCGAACAGCTCTTTTCAGAGAGAGTGCAGAGAAAGAAAATTAGGAAACAAAGAAGCAGCTCGAAATCTCCTTACTAACTTGCATATGAAGCAGATTTCAAAAGTATAAGTATTTAACTCCTTTTGTTGTTTAAGTGTTAGAATGAATCAAGTACCATAGTATAGTACTTTGCTAAGGTTAAGATATCTTTTGGATGTTTAGCAAGAACATTTTGGACATCGTATGTTCTCTATAAACATCAAGTATATGCACAGCAGAAAGCTTTTGTAATAGCAGTTAATCTGCACTTGTGTCTTAGACACCCAGTTAAGTAGAACTTAAGCCTTTTATAATGTACATAGTACTAGCAGAATCAGTATGATGTATTAGCTTGTATCCTTAAATCAGGATACCTATCTATAATATAACCTTCATTATTATAAGTCCTTTCTATCAAGCTTTACTCAGCATTTCATCTGTAGCCTTTTAAAATAGCAGAATAATATGTACATTACACTTTCTAACCTAGATGCAGTTTCTGAGTTCCAGTCTATTTCGTGTAGGTCTAACAATTGTGCCTTTTTTTGGGGGTTGCTTCAACTCCTTACCTTTCGCCGCTTGTTTGCTGCCTTCTGTTGCATGGTGGCCCTTATTCTCCAGTAGAAATCAAGGTAGAAAAGAAGAATAGCCACCAACTCTCACCTACATTTGAATACTTTTCAATAAAACATGAAGAATGGTAATTCTCCAACTAATCTTATCACATTATTTTGGTTTACCTGTGAATCCCACTGTCTGGAGGCTAATGACAGACAGAATGATTAATGACTTAAGTCTCATTTAACATTATAGTTTTCACTGCTTCTAAAGATGCAAACTGTTCCTAACTCAGAATCCTAAATGGTATCGTTTTTCACAATCATACAGTTGACATCTTCCATTCTATGTGTTCTTCGACTTCTACCGTGCTCAAAACTGTAAAGAAGTATTAAAAAAAAACAGCTACAGCTCGACAGACAGCACTATCTGTATAGGAACCCTGGTATGTAAAATATCCATGTAAGCTTAATTCTCAGAAGTGTTCTATTTACTTCTCCTGTACTTTGTCTGCTGAATATTTTAAAACTAAGTCCATAATATGTTTAGAAAATTGCTGAGGTCTCAGATAATTAACTGGCTAACCATGTCTAGATTACAATGCAAGATACCTACAGGCAAATTAGATATTAATGGTGAATATGAAATTACGATAACAGAGAATAGCAAAAATTAAGGGAAAGGAAATGCAGTAGAAGTCATATCATATTATTTCCAAAAAACAGAACCTAAACTCTGTTTAATAGCATTACATTACATAGGGAAATAATTCATCCAAAAACAAATCTACTATCCTTATTAATCTCTCAATAGAATACAAGCAAAGAAAGAACACACAATCCTAAGAGCATAACATTCTAAAAACACAAATGAGTCAGCCTATTACACTAGCACTAGATCAATATCAAAAACTATAGGATTTCCTTCTCTGAATTTAATCAACAACCCTTCATCTACTTGGACATTGTAATGATCAACAAATTTCTTTACGCCATTTTTTATTGAGCACTGAATAATCGTATTCCCAGCCTTTGCGACCTTCAACTGAGCGCTAAATTGTCTATCAAAGTTCTGCAGAATAATATCAGTTGTGCTAGGGAAATTTTGAAAATGCTGTTAGCAAAATTCAGCGGAACATTCTGCCAAAATACCACAGCACACAAAATAATATTAGCAAGAATAGAGACAAGAAATACATATTCTACAAGCTACAGTAGAGTAGATGAAAAGCATACTATAACTCCTTGCTCAATGTATGCAGCTGAAAAGATGAAAAAGAAATAGTCTTCATGACAGGTAGCGGCAAGTTCAGTGAGCCAAGCATTGGTCTCAATCATTTTAGCTGAAGACCCTTCAACGGCTGGCTTCCGCCCACGTTTTTTATAAAAACTGCCTGAGGCCTCAGAATGCTTTTTCCTTTCTATGTTCTTTCCTTTCTTACCAGTCTGAATTCGGACTGTGAACGAACTATCTCCTAAATAAGTGAAGGTTAGGACATCACCTACTTCTATCCCATTATCTTCAACAAAATCATTCCACCCTGCATCAAGATACATACCCCAGCCATTGCCACATTCTTCGTGGACTGAAGTAACGTACCAGCATTTTTGACAGCCAGCCAGCCATGAATACCTGAATACTAAAGAAGCCATCGTCTAACACATCGCTGAAACCATCAGGGATACGCTGCACATGTGATACTTTTTACGCATTAGAAATACAAGACAAGGTAATAGCCACACATAAAAACTAAACAAAGCATGCGCTACATGCACACCAGAAAACACCAGAAATAAAGTCACACATAAAAACTAAACAATTTGTGCAATAGATCCACATTATACATCAACAAAGACAGTGTTGATAGTTTCATACCAGCTTCTCATGTTGCTCAGTATCATTTTCATACGGAACTGTAAACACAATTGGAAAATCTACCTTTTTTTTTTTTTGCAAGACACTTATTCTCTATAACAGCTGCACATTAATTCCTGCAGAAACCCACAGAGTTCCTATGTACTTGCTACCTGATACAAAGTAGTACTATATATAGAAAAAAAATATAACCTTAAAGCGGCTACACTTGTATATATTAATGAGAAAATAAAGGGTCATTAATATCATCATTTCCCTTGAGAAAGTAACTGAGATTTAAGATTCTATATCTCTATGCTTCTGAAGCCTTTTTAACTTCTTTGAAAGTAGTCAATACAGTAATAGTTGGATATCAGACAGTTCTTAGGTAGGGAATATTAATATCACTTATTTATACTTGCATACACTTACCCAAATAAGGCCTGCAGTACTGCCTTTCATCCATACCCACCCTTTGTCACTTTTCCAAAAGAGGATTCCCTCACTATATAGTCTGCTAAGTGTCCTTTACAGTGACAAGACACAAGATGCTTAAATACTCTTCTTATTAACAGCACGGATAACAACCAAGAATAAAACTAACTACTTTCAACTCATAGTTAATTTGGTCAGATATATAAAAACAACAGCTACTATCAGGATCTGGGCAAACCACCAAGGTTGCAATCTAACTTTAGAGGATACCCTATATGCAACTCACAAATTGAAGAATATATGTTATAAGAAAACCTACAATAGAATAACAGTAAACAATAGATTAGAAACACATACACCTTACTTTTACATAGTAATCAAATTAGTGTTACAACACAAGCATACACATAAGCCTTTTAAAAGTACTACTTCCATGAAAACCACAGGTGTTTCAGAAATAAATGACCGAATAATCTACCATTGTTAGCGTGGTGCTAGCTGAAATTCGAATAGGAGAGGATATCCTTCACGATAGACTACTGTTTCGGGTGAAAACAATGGGACCTTGCCGAAGGTCCGCTGAAGTGGAGAAGACTGGATTCGGTCCAAGTTATGTCGGGCCGAAGGTTTCCTGCACAGTAAACACACGTAAACTAGCCTCGGGGGTGTTGCCGAGGAAGGCCCCTCCGATGCTAAAGTCAGTACAATGTGTAAAAGGAAGACACTATGCAAGAGAGTTTGTAGCTTGAGGCTTTTGTGGAATATATCCGAATGTAAGAATGAGCATATGAATTAGAATATGAATATGAACGTGAATATGAACCTGCATCCGTGAATGTGTCAATATGATGGCTTTTATACCTCATCATACATGGAGAGGTTGGGCTTTAGCCCAATTGGCTTGCTTTGTGGGCTGACCTTTGACTTTTGCACAATTGGAGAGTTGAACCTTGACCTTGGGCTTTTAATTGGATCATTTAGTGCTTAGGCCCAATTTTGACTAAATTGGACCCAAACAACTACTAATGCACCTACGCCACTAATAATGCGCTCATCCTCATAGAACAGCCTGACACCGTTTCTCAGGGAACAACCTGTTATTACATTCCCCTGTCGAGCAATATGCAGCTCGGCACACCACTGTCTAAGTCTGTGACGAATGAGAACAACAGTACTTGGCTGCATATGCTGAAAATAAGTGCTTGCAAACGATGCAGGGACAACCTGTACAGATTATCATTTAAAGAAATTAGCCCTCACAGACCATTTTCATATATCAACAACTGCAAAACAATAGAACATGAACACGTAAACCATGAACACAGAAAAAATATAGACTATACTGTGACACATACAAGAGTTCCTTCTTTGACGTATGGAGCACAAACTATAGCTTCAAATGATGGATAAGAGGTTCTTTGCTGCATCAGCCGCCTTAGATGAACTTCAAGCTCCAACCTACTTAGTGGAAGTGCTCTTTCTTCTGTAGCAATTCATGGTATCGACGTACCTAAATGTGTCTTTTCTTTACCATGGGAGGCGTATATTCTGGTGTGAATCACACTATTGCCTTTAAAATACATTATTAGCGTGTCTCCAACTTCTACATCATTATTTTCGATGAAGTTTTTCCAGCCTTCATCCATATACATGCAACTAACTTCGCTAGCGTTCACACCCTTCTGAATAGTCACAGACCAAGACAGACCTTCAGCACCCCGATAAATGGTGACTGCTTCACCCTGATATGCTAGAAATTGATGATACCGACTAGGAATTTCCTGAAAAAAAAATACACATGCACTAAAACGATTAGTAGTGAACTAAGCACAGGTGACTGAAAACCAAATTGCTATGGACAGAACCCCATACTACTAATTTCTGATGTTGCTGATCAATGCTCAGAACCCATTTCATTATTGCATTATCGGTTGCCTGCACAAAAACAGCACAACAAATACAAATATAAGTAAATTTTACAATTTCAGTAGTAAAACAGATATCTTCCACTGCTAAACTTAGCAAACATACCATTATTATAGAAGAACACTATCTCTCACTGCAAATCTGAGTGCCTTTTATACACAAACACCCCAGCAAAACATAGTAAATAATAGTCACAAGCTTCACACTAACTGTAGCCATGTGAGTGTCTATAGACATTAGACACACTGAGACTCAGTCAGGTATTAGATGTTACAGCACTATAGACACCCTAACCAAGATAATTACCATGCAGAAAGATAGCTTCTCCTGTTATAGATTCTCTTTATATGCTGGTACATTAGTCTAACAAAGGCCAATAAGCACACATGCAGTCTTCACATTCCTAAGGACTAAATTTCTGAGGTATTCCAATAAACACGATGCTCTCAAGTGTTGTGCAATAATATACCGAATAGTTAACCAAATTATTCTTTATAATAGATTAATGCCTGTATAGTATGCCATATATCTCGCACAGTGCAGGCTCATTAGCTTCAGCTCATGGCAGGATCAAATCGTGTA